TAGAAGTGTTTAAAATATTTTCAAGATCGGTTCAGATCGGTATCTTTATCCGATTTCAGTTTTTTTATACACCAAATCAAATTTTGGTGAAAATCGGTTCATATATAGCAGATATCAGATATATCTCCGAAATGCCTCTGCCTAGTTTTATCAAGATCGGATCAGATCTGTATATAACTCCCATATATATCTTTACCCGATTTGAAATTTATTGCGCACCAAACAGTTAATGCCAGCCCAAATGGACTGAATTGCCCCACATATGAATATCAGTCCAATTTGGATGATCAAAGCTTTCTTAAAAATATTCCAAATAAACAAGTCCTTAAAAATTATACATTATTAATTAGAAGGTCCATAAATAATCCACGGTTTTAAGCCAAGAGGTCATTAAAATTAAAATTCTTAGAAATTCCTAAAAAATTGACCAAAAGATCCTTAAAAAATCCAGGATTTCGGTAAAAAAAGGCCCATTAAATAATTTGTCCACGACTTTAGATCAATACATCTTTCAAAACAATTCTAAAAATTCAAAAATTGCTCAGAGATCTTTTCTTAAGAAGTACATGATATTTTCAGTAAAACATTGTAAAAAATATATTTTAAAGAATTAATGTTTTTTTTAAATATACGGTTTTTTTAAGGAAGGTCCTTATTTTTTTTAGAAAAAAAATTTGAGATTTTTGCCTACACATTAAAATACCATTCCTTAAAATTAATTTTCTTAATAAATCCAAGATTTTTAATCAAAAGTTTCTTTAAAAATTGTAACTTCAAAAAATGGGACCTACTGAAAAACTCATTCGAATTATACGATATTCATTTTCATTATATCGGATTAGGGATTTTTAGAAATTTTAACAGTTTGTGAAGGAGGATGGCACCTTCAAAGAGCAACCTACATATCTTATTGTCCCATTCAATCTAATTTTGATAGAAATGTAATGATGTTCTAAGTTTCGAATGATCGAAACTACAAATTTTTAAAATATTTTACTATTTTTCTGAAGAAGTTTATTGGCAAAAATATGGCAATGTGCGGAAACTTCAATTATAAAATCTTTTATAAGTCGAGTTTTTTCTTTTTCTTGAACATTTTTAAGCAACTTAATCGAGAGTTATCGTGTCACAAAAATGGCATGCAGGCTTATACCATTATTTCGATATGGCATACTTGCCAGTGTTCAAAACGACTACGGAGGTCACAAGGCATAGAATATAATAATCTGAACTAAAATGGATTAAAAGCAACATTTTATCCATCTATATAATATCATAACCCTTAAATAATTTTTTTCTTAATTAATAATTCTCGATTTAAATTTTACTTTCCTTTTCATCTTTTTACAAAGTTTACTTCCAATAAAAATTTGAATTGAAATGGATTTAAATAACTGCTCATAACCTTATCTTGGTCTTGATATTAACGAAGATTGATGGACTATAAATCAAAGGAATTTCCACCAACAAAAATTGACATAAAATTTTGTATTCCCGCAATTTTAAATTAATTTCCATTGAATTACTATATGACAGTGAACATTATTGCATCATTATTTTACCATGGAAGTTAACAAGAAAATTATTTAAGAAAATTTCCATTTGGGTTCAACGATTTAATGGAACAGAAAACATTGAGATAACATGAAATGAGTGGATTTTAAAAACACTCTCAGAAAAAAACGCATATTTTTTATTCATTCAATAACACGAGAAAAAAATAAATGAAAATCATTTTTTCTTTTCAACAAATCATGTTTTGAAAATTTACATTTCGTTGAGAGCTACTTGATGTGTTACAGTTTATATTTCGAAATTAGACTATGACCTTTTCCATCAATCGTAAGTTTACATTTCTTAAAACATTTTGTAATGGTTTTTTAGATATAGAGGGCGAAACACTCTATTATTAAAATTGATTTGGAAAATGCCTGTGTGTGCGCTGTGGTCGGTTAAAACTAACAATAAATTAGACAGATAATGAGAACAAGAAAAAAAAATTATAAATCAAAAATATAAACTGTCTGGCTGTTTATCATGAATCATAATAATCAAATAATTCAATTGAACAGGGTCTTTATACGAGATAATACACCATTGGAGGAAATACATTTCCCACCAAACATCCTCGCTGCACCACACGGTATAATACAATATCAGAATCCATAACCTCTACTGTACTTTTGTAATTCATAGAAAATCTGGGTTTTTGAGATTTTACCACTTCAAAAAGCTTCTCCTGGACATCTTCTCCCTAACTATGCACCATCTAGTCGAAAATCCAAAGTAGGATCAAATTTCGTAACACTGGCGGTGGAAAAAGTAAATGACGGTAATTGGAGATATACAGGACGAGATAAAAAAACTGCAACAAAGTCAAACGACATAATTTTTACATTTTTCTTTTAATTTGTCGGAAATAGCATCAAATTGCAACGGATTGGTGTGCGGAGAGTTTGGTGGCCATTGTTAGCTGGAAATGAAGCGAGGAACCTCCTTTGTAACCATTCTTGGGTGGCGCATGCTGAGTCCTGTTGGAATGTCCAAGATCTGCGGCCAAAATGTTTGCGTGCCCAAGGTCTTAATACGCACTCCAGAATATTTTCGCGATAATATTCGCCATTTATTCTGATGCAACGGTCGATTAATACACTTTCGGCCAAGCGAAGCAATTCTTTAGCTCTTTTGAGTCTATTTTCTTTCTGTTGCGGTGTTAGTTCTTGCACTTTTTGGAATTTCAATGGCTTTACCCCGAACTCATTTTACAATATTTGACGAATGGAATATTGCGAGCCATTTTTCGGCCACTGTGATGCGGCCGAATTATTTTTCGAAACATTTCTGCTGATGTTGCTATTTTCTACCGTCCACTTCCTTGACGTTAGACACGAGACACAAAAGATTTATTCACATTTAAATGCTGGACTGCTCAAACGATAGCCACTTGTGGTTTTCCAGCCAAATATAAAGAAATCACACTATCACGCTTGAATTCCGTCACGAATAATTTTTTTTCTGGAAAATTATGCTTTCGTACGCTTGTAAATAATATAATGAGCTTTCATTGGAATACTTTCAACAGCTGTCGGACGAGTGGCTCAGAAATGACAGCGGTCTGAAGTTGGTTGCAGTTTTTTCATCTCACCCTTGGTAAGCGTAAAATTCTAAGATGAGCTCTGTCCGATCGTCCGTCCGTTATAATCACGCTAGAATCAAAATGAATTGAGATAAGAAAAATGTTGCACAGATTAGTCTTTTTTCTGCAGGCAAAAAAAGTTCGAAGATGGGCTATATCGGTCCATGATGTCACGTAGCCTCCATATAAAGGTACCCCCTATTTTCGGTATTTTGATGATTTCAAACAAATTTTTCAATGGAATTGTCTGAAAATCCGCATAAGGTGTTATTTCTAAGTACTTTACCCTCTGGATTGTCTATAAAGCTCCACGATATCATATATCTCCCAATATTTGGTATTTTGATGATTTTAGCGACATTATTGACCGGAATTGTTTTATATTTCGTATTTGCAGTTCCCAAAGCGTACTACAGTCTATGACAGAAAATTGTCTATGAAGGTCCAAGTCTTCGTATAGCCACCAAATATCGGTACCTCCCTATAAGCGCTATTTTGACAATCTTCAGTACAATATTCACCGGATTTGTTTCAAATTTCTTATATGAATTCCCTGATAGGTACAACATCATGTGACATGAAATATATAGGTTCACGTTTTCATATAGCCACCATTTAACGGTACCTCCCTATATTCCTTATTTTGGTGATTTTAGCGACATTATTCACCGGCATTGTTTCATATTTCGTATTTGAAGTTGAAGGGGTGCTACAGTCTATGACCGAAAATTGCCTATGCAGGACATGGTCTTCGTATAGCCCCCTATATCCGTACCTCCCTATATTCCGTATTTTCATGCTATAAACGACATTATTCACCGGAATTGTTTCAAATTTCGTATTTGAGGTTCATTATGGGCACTGCAATGTGACAGAAAATTGGCTATGCAGGTCCAGGTCTTCGTGTAGCCTCCATATATCGATAGCACCCTATATTCAGTATTTTGATGATTTTTGGAATGTTATTCACCGGAATTGTTTCATATTTCGTATTTGCAGTTTTTAAAGGGTACTACAGCCTATGATGAAAAAGTATTTATATAGGACCACGTCTTCGTATAGCCCCCATATAACGATACCTCCCGATATTCCGTATTTTGATGATTTTATGGACATTATTTACCGGAATAGTATCAAATTTCGTACTGGGCACTACAGTTTATGACAGAAAATTGCCTATGCAGGTCCAGGGGTTGGATTCTTGTTCTACGAAAATATGAAAAATATTTCCTTCATAAAATTTTTCATTTAACATTTCTTCCCTTTAAAAGTTTTCATTTTACATTTTCAGAGAACAAGAATTGAGGCCTAGGTCTTCGTATAACCCCCATATAACGGTACCTCCCGTATTCGGTATTTTGATAATTTTAGACCATTATTCACCGGATTTTTTCAAGACTCGTATTTGAATTTTGTAATGGCTCATGAGAAAAGTTGCCTATGTGGCGACTTCCCACATTCGATATTTTTTATGATTTTAACAAAATTTTTAACAAATTTTATTTATTTATTTATTTATTTATTTTTTTTGAAAATTTTCAAATTTGTAACTTACTGATTTTTTACTTGTTTTTGCTTTTTTTGTTTTTTTTTTTCCTCTTAAAAATATCGTCCCTTATATCATAATAAAATTATTAAGAATTTGTTAAACAATGTCAACTTGCATAAAATCTACCCCTACCCATGTTATTTATTTATGACCCTCAGAAAATTTTAACACCAGGTTCCGTTAAAAAAAATAGTATATTTTTATACTTCCACAAATATTTACATAAATCCAATATTTATAGGCAGTTACAATTAAAGAATGCACCTTTTGTATATTTTTCTATTAACACACCGTTTAATTTGATAAAAAACGTACCTTTTTGCATTAATGAGGAAAAAACACCAGCAACAATTATTGAAAACAACAATTATTTAGGTGGTGTTGTTGTTGTGGACCTTTTCTGTGGCGGGGTTATCTTGGTTGTGTGACGTTTTGTTATTGTTTTGTTTTCTCAATATTATTTAATATTATATTGGCTTTTTTTAATTTATTGTATTTTCGTATTTTCAATATTGACATAATATCATTTCAAATCACATTAGTTTATAACACATTAAATGTTTTTCTTTAATTATATTTTTTGAAATCCACGTTAATTAGTTGAGCAAATATTAACACAAAAATTTATTTTCAACCCACTTTTTCCATAAACTAACATTTAAGAAAAAATAAATGCCACATTTATAAATCGAATTTATTTATTTTTTTCATTGAATATTTTTTAATAGTTAACACTTAACAATGATTTAACAAATTAACACTTCAACACAATGTGTAACACAAATCCAATGTGGATCAAAATTTCAAACTTTAAGTAGGCTATTTGTATTGATAATGTAAGTTTAACACTTGATTGTTCTTCTGCTTTTCGATTTTATTCACGCGTTTTTTAAAAAGAATAAACAAAACACTTTTTTTCTTTATTCATAGAAAATGAATAAATTTTAAATAATAAACTTTTTTCCTGTCATGTGCAGCGCGATTAAACGCTGATTAAGAACTGAATACGGGGCAATATTTTGAATCGATGAAAAAAGGAATTATTCTTTATTTCAATTGTTGTTTTGTTTGTAAAGCGTTTCGATGTATGAGTTTGATTTCTTTGGAGAGCAATGATGAGACCAATCACTCATTCGCTCTCACTCACGCATTGCCAAACACACACACACATACCCAAATTCTCTCTTTCTCTCTCGCGATGATATGAAGATTTACGTATGTCTCATGACTTGTCATTCCTATCGATCGACATGCTACCACAAATCCATTAGGAATCGTATTGAACTTCCAACGTGATCTTCTACAACAACTTTTCGATATTTGTTAACCGAGGAAGAGCCAAGCGCTCATGTATCCAAACAGCAACTCAATGCATGCCCCTCAGTTATCGGTAACAATAATTATTTACTCCTACAAGTGGTCATGTCGAATTAATACTCATTATGTTGATAACATGTTGTTTGATTAGAAAATACAGTCGAGGAGAATAAAATAGCAACAATATGTTCTTGATTATTAAAAAGGCAAAAAGGTCTTCAATAAAAGAGAATATCTTCTCATAGAAAAGTGAAGGGTTTTCTCATAGAAAAGTGAAAAATACTTCTCATAGAAGAGCCGAAGATCTTCTCTCAAAGCAAAGGCGAAGGTCTTCTCTTATATAAGAGCAGAAAGTCTACTCAGAGAAGAGTAGAAGGTCCTCTCTCATTAAAGAGCAGAAAGTCTTCTCAGAGAAGAATAGAAAGTCTTCTCAGAGAATAGTAGAAAGTCTTCTCAGAGAAGAATAGAAAGTCTTCTCAGAGAATAGTAGAAAGTCTTCTCAGAAGAGTAGAAAGTTTTCTCAGAGCAGAGTAAATGGTCTTGACAGAGAAGAGCCGAAGGTCTTCGCTCATAGAAAAACAGAAGGCCTTCGCTCATAGAAGAGCCGAAGGTCCACTCATAGAAGAGCCGAAGGTCTTCTCATAGAAGAGCCGAAGGTGTTCCCATAGAAGAGCCGAAAGTCTTCTCATACAAGAGCCGAAGGTCTTCTTCATAGAAGAGCCGAAGGTCTTCTTCTTAGAAGAGCAGAAGGTCTTCTTTCATAGAAGAGCTGGAGGTCTTCTTTCATAGAAGAGCTGGAGGTCTTCTTCGTAGAAGAGCTGGAGGTCTTCTTCGTAGAAGAGCTGGAGGTCTTCTTCGTAGAAGAGCTGGAGGTCTTCTTCGTAGAAGAGCTGGAGGTCTTCTTCGTAGAAGAGCTGGAGGTCTTCTTCGTAGAAGAGCTGGAGGTCTTCTTCGTAGAAGAGCTGGAGGTCTTCTTCGTAGAAGAGCTGGAGGTCTTCTTCGTAGAAGAGCTGGAGGTCTTCTTCGTAGAAGAGCTGGAGGTCTTCTTCGTAGAAGAGCTGGAGGTCTTCTTCGTAGAAGAGCTGGAGGTCTTCTTCGTAGAAGAGCTGGAGGTCTTCTTCGTAGAAGAGCTGGAGGTCTTCTTCGTAGAAGAGCTGGAGGTCTTCTTCGTAGAAGAGCTGGAGGTCTTCTTCGTAGAAGAGCTGGAGGTCTTCTTCGTAGAAGAGCTGGAGGTCTTCTTCGTAGAAGAGCTGGAGGTCTTCTTCGTAGAAGAGCTGGAGGTCTTCTTCGTAGAAGAGCTGGAGGTCTTCTTCGTAGAAGAGCTGGAGGTCTTCTTCGTAGAAGAGCTGGAGGTCTTCTTCGTAGAAGAGCTGGAGGTCTTCTTCGTAGAAGAGCTGGAGGTCTTCTTCGTAGAAGAGCTGGAGGTCTTCTTCGTAGAAGAGCTGGAGGTCTTCTTCGTAGAAGAGCTGGAGGTCTTCTTCGTAGAAGAGCTGGAGGTCTTCTTCGTAGAAGAGCTGGAGGTCTTCTTCGTAGAAGAGCTGGAGGTCTTCTTCGTAGAAGAGCTGGAGGTCTTCTTCGTAGAAGAGCTGGAGGTCTTCTTCGTAGAAGAGCTGGAGGTCTTCTTCGTAGAAGAGCTGGAGGTCTTCTTCGTAGAAGAGCTGGAGGTCTTCTTCGTAGAAGAGCTGGAGGTCTTCTTCATAGAAGAGCTGGAGGTCTTCTTCATAGAAGAGCTGGAGGTCTTCTTCATAGAAGAGCTGCAGGAGGTCTTCTTTCATAGAAGAGCTGGAGGTCTTCTTTCATAGAAGAGCTGGAGGTCTTCTTTCATAGAAGAGCTGGAGGTCTTCTTTCATAGAAGAGCTGGAGGTCTTCTTTCATAGAAGAGCTGGAGGTCTTCTTTCATAGAAGAGCTGGAGGTCTTCTTTCATAGAAGAGCTGGAGGTCTTCTTTCATAGAAGAGCTGGAGGTCTTCTTTCATAGAAGAGCTGGAGGTCTTCTTTCATAGAAGAGCTGGAGGTCTTCTTTCATAGAAGAGCTGGAGGTCTTCTTTCATAGAAGAGCTGGAGGTCTTCTTCGTAGAAGAGCTGGAGGTCTTCTTCATAGAGAACTGGAGGTCTTCTTCGTAGAAGAGCTGGAGGTCTTCTTCATAGAGAACTGGAGGTCTTCTTAAAAGAAGAGCCGGATATCTTCTCCTGGAAGAGCCAAAGGTCTTCTCCTAGAAGAGCCGAAAATCATCTCCTGGAAGAGCTCGTAGAAGAGCCAAAGGTCTTCTCATAAAAGAATCGAATTTCTTCTCATAGAGAGCCGAAGGTATTCTCTAGAAGAGTCGAAGGTTCTCTCATAGAAGAAACGAAGGTCTTCTCATAGAAGAACCAAAGGTGTTCCCCTAGAAGAGCCGAAGGTGTTCCCTTAAAAGAGCCGAAGATCTTCTTCATAGAAGAGCCGAAGGCCTTCTTCATAGAAGAGCCGAAGATCTTCTTCATAGGAGAACCGAAGGTCCTCTCATAGAGTAGCAAATGGTCCTCTCATAGAGTAGCAAATGGTCTTCTCACAGAGGAGCAAAAGGTCTTCGTATAGAGGAGCAAAAGGTCCTCTCATAGAAGAGCAAAAGGTCCTCTCATAGAGGAGCAAAAAGGTCCTCTTATAGAGGAGCAAAAGGTCGTCTCATAGAAGAGCAAAAAGGTCCCCTCATAGAATAGCATAAAGGTCCTCTTATAGAGGAGCAAAAAGGTCCCCTCATAGAGGAGCAAATGGTCCTCTCACAGAGGAGCAGAAGGTCCTCTCACGGAGGAGCAAAAGGTCCTCTCACGGAGGAGCAAAAGGTCCTCTCACGGAGGAGCAAAAGGTCCTCTCACAGAGGAGCAAAAGGTCCTCTCATAGAGGAGCAAAAGGTCCTCTCATAGAGAAGGCCAAATTGGTACTCTCAAAGAAGGCCAAATTGATCTTCTCAGTCCTAATTGGTCACCTCATAGAAGTCACCTCTTTTAATAGAACGCTAAAAACTTATTCTCCTAGAAAGCCAAACCAGAGCGAATGATCATCTCACAGAGGAGGAGCCCTTCCCTTCTTATGCCAATATTCACTTCAAAGAGAAAAGGGTATTCTCTTCAAAGATCCAATTGGTCCAATAGGACTTCATACAGAATCCAACAAATTATTTTCACCAAAGGCCAAAAGTTTTCCAATATGTCTTCGACAGTACGGAAGTATCGGCAGCGGTATTTTTCAATGCTACCAGCTTGAACACAGCTGTCTATTTAAGCATATGTATTATATGTTCATTCAATTGCAAACTCTCTCACCCAGTCGAAGGTCCCACAAAATATGATAACAGAACCACAAATTCGATTCGACTCCTACCGATTACTAAACTCTCCAGTACCAACAACAAAAGCAACAAAATAAATTTTCTTATCACTTCGAGAAATATGAACAGCGAACACACATGGCTACGTGTATGAGCACTTTCGCTCTTCATTTGCTACGTTGACGCCGCAGTTCTTGTTGCTGTTGTTGTTGATATTTAATTTCTTTGTGTATTTCTCAGATACTTTGCCGCCGAACTCGTTCGCTCGCTTGCCCGCTCTCTTTGTTTTTGTTATGAGTTAATGATGTTTTTGTTGCTGTTGTTGTTATTTTGTTGACAGAAATGCATTTTAATGAAATGCATTTTTTAGTTTTTTGTTTTTGTTTTTACTCTTCGTCTTGGGTGCAGTCAATAGTTGTTATTTAGCCACCTCAGCACCTATTGTTGTTATTGTTAACACTTTGTTTTGTTGCAGCGATGACACTCCGCTGTCATTGTTGTCTCGCATCAGCTGGGTGGGTATATGGTGCCGTTCATTGTTTGCACTGCGTACGACCCACCAACCGACCGCTTGGCTCTGCTTTGTTGTTATCATCGGGGCCAACAAGTAACCGAAAGATAAATAAATGCTTGGTTTATCGTATCGAAAAGATATTTTGTTGTGTTTTTTTTTTGGTTTACTATAGTCTTTGTGGTAATGCCGTAGGCGCTTGGAGGTGCTAAATCGATATCGAAGATACATAGTATGGGTATTTAATATGTGTATTACATATTAACCCTTAATTGACCTAGAAACTAGGTGAAAATCCGCAATTCAATAAATAGTGCTTAACCAACAGTACCCAGCAATAGGATAATCATATTTAAGTTTATGAATTCGAGAATAGTATTTTTATATCGAAAAAATTTGTTATACCCTCAGCCAACACGTGCCTCATCGATATAACTTTTTTATACCCTACGTCATTTGGAGTCGATTTAGAGATGGAGTCGATCACGATAACTATCGAAGGGAGTATCATCGTAATATTGTTATCAAACTTAGATCGAGTTCGGATGTGGGCAATATCGGTCCACTCCTTTTGGTACCTCCCCCAAATAAAATATTTTACTCCATCAAGTACCTCCCCCATAAAGTCCGATTGTCCTCGTAATAGTCCGATTGTCCTCAAATTACTCACTTCACAATATTTTTATTAATCCAAGGTCTGGTGTAAAGATGGAATATATCGGTCCACTCCTTCTGGTACCTCCCCCACAAAAGGTCGAAATTTTCAAAATATATATTTTCTGCACAGAAAGAAAAAGTATAATCCGATTTGGCTCTAATTTAGTTAATTCTAATATTTGCGTCAATGCTAGGTCAGGTGTGAAAATGGACAATATCGG